GGTACGAAAAGTGCAAAAACGCATAATCGCACCGGCCCGCCTGGTGCGTTCCAGCCTGGGTTCATAGCTGCGTCTGGCATATTAGGAACATCTTAATGGCACCAGTAAAATAAGTTACTTTCAGCGAATGTGCAGGCTGTTATAGTATTCTTGATATGCAATCAAATTCCACAAGGATTTGATAGAAGAGCACCAGAAAAAAACTTCAAACGTGCAAATGCCTCTTTTTAATGAACGAAGGATGAGTGAATGATATAAACAAGAAAGTGGCATCTAGTTTTCAGGACAAACTGAAAGGATTATCGGATATGGATGAATACGTTGCAAGATCGATTCAGCTAACGAAAATGTTACAGAAGCATCAGTTCGTCAAGAATGCTATCAAAATTTACCTCCTGAAAGCAAAAGATCTTGGGAACTCTCCAATAAGGGCAACTGTGAGGTAAGAAAATAGCCTTGTCACTGGCATACTTAATTGCTTGATATTTAAGACAGCTATTAGTTAACCACTGATATATCAGTGGTATAGTTGACAGCCATGAGTTATACCAATGTTTTCACCCCCTCCTCTCCCTCCCTCCGCAAAGGTGTAAAACGAGATTTTTACCTCGTCACTTTACCCTCATTTTCATTAATGGTGATCATCCAAAACTGTAACCACTGTTGTTCTGAAGCCATTCAGAAAGCCAGAAAATAATAAAGAGAAAGTAGGTTATTCTTCCCCATACACGTGCTTTTTTCACACTTTTTATGCCTATCGGAAAGTAATCGACAACTTGACCGACCCTTCTCCTCCTCCTCTCCGTCCATCTACTACCCTCCTCGCAATCCTGGACGATCTTAGTAGCTCCAAACCCGCATCAACCAATAAATACATCACAAAATACGCCGACTACACAGCGGCTGCTACGGTTCCCTCCATGGTGACTACATTAATACATATGAAATACTGCCATCGCGCCGGTCAATCCTGTTTTAAATACCTAGAACAGGGAGGGTGCTTGCCGTTCGACCACACCGCACCATTACAACTACAACATAAGGGATCAGCCTAATTATGTACAAGTTTGTACGCAATCTGTGTTTCATCCCTTAGCTGTAAACACACAGACAGCCTCCTAAACTTCATTCATTTAGGCGAGCAAATTCGGCACACGAAATTCGAGCACTAACGACAAATGGTTGGCAGCGATTGTCGCAGAAGCCAGTAGATGTGTTTCTTGTTGATGGTGACCATGATACGATGCTACAGCAACAGAATATTCCCAACCTTACTAATATTTTCGCTGATATCTATGGCCAAAAATTTCAATAAGATGATGTTCTTTGCTAGCACACAAAAACTGGCGGCTGTCAAACTGTGAAGCAATGAACGTACTTTTGTCAATTCAATGCATAAAAAAACTTTTTATCTCCAGGAAATACAAATACAAAAGTTCCATATTTTTGTGAATGAACAAAGTGATGACAGTTTTGTCAAATTTTACGACACCCGACTGCGTATTTCAACAAACAATATTGTTTAATTAGCCGGTACGCTTTGAGGGGAAGGAAATCAGAACTCGAATATTAAGTGGCGCAAATAAACCCAAAAAACTGTCGATATATACGCAAACCAGGACCAAAGGATCTGACTTGGCTGCGCCACGCATTTAGAAACATTCCAGTAACATCACTAACGTTAAATACAATGATTCCCGGATAGCCTGGCATTCTTGGGATATGCCTTGAACAGCAACATTTTCAACTTCCCAAAAAGGCGATTCTGAAATCTGCTGGCACCTCTTTCCGTCCAAAATTTTGCTTTTTTCATGTCCCTTTTAGAATGTTTCAAAACATCAATTTTTACGTCCCGTTTGCCCAAATATGGCATATAATTTTAAACATTTTGCAAAAAAATTAAGAATTTTTTCAGACACACATTCGCTTTTTACATTCGCATTACTGATGAATCGCAAAAAGCATAAAAAAATCTACTATCGCCAACGTTAACATCCACTAATACAGTTCGATTGCTGGAGCTGTGTAAAAAAAAGGGGAAAAAAAGCGGGGTGGGGTGGGGGAGACGAGGGGGAAATATATATATTTTTTTAAAAAAGCATAAATCTTCAATGATTTGCAATCTAAGGAGCAATATTAAACAATGTAGAATGAACGATATACTAAGAAAGGGCCTTTAACAGATCATTTTCATGCATATCAGCGCTGAAAACCACTTTACTCCATCGACTCTGTTCCAGTGCTTCGTAGAATTCTTCACTGTTGTCCAGCACTTTTTCATTGTTCTCATCCGCCGTTTCATCGCTCACTGGTTCGACACCGTTCGCTTCACAGGATACAACCGCACCTCCGACAACTTTCCGATAACATTGCTGGAAGTAAAATTGTTCTAATAAAGTGAACAGCTGGTGCCGCTGACAGCGCTATATCACTAAAACTCTTCAGTGAGGCTACAATAAAGTGCTTTTATCGCTTCATTGCTAATTTATCTGCATGTGCACAAAAAATTTTTGGAACATATTTTGATATGACTTATTCAGACGAGGTCCAATTGTGGTAATGGTATGAGCTGTATACGACTTAATGGACCAAAAATACTTCTTACCATTATAATAGTCTCGCAAATTTTCTAATTTTGGTTTTTTATCTTCGTTTCTCTTTTTTCTCATAGGTTTTTGGTAAATTTTTTGATATGACTTATTCAAACGAGGTCCAACTGTGGTAATGGTAAGAACTGTATACGACTTAATGGACCAAAAATATTTCTTGCATTTATAATAGTCTCACAGATTTTCTAATTTTGGGTTTTTACCTTCGTTTCTTTTTTTCTTCTTTATCTCATTCCTTCTTATTATAACTTTCTGTATACCAGCTCTATACCTCTACTGTTGATAGTTCTGAAAACGATAGCAACACCCGAGTTTAGGCTAGAACGATCAGAAATAGCAGGACCCGGTATAACAGTTACAATGAGGCTCCCCATCGATAGGACGAATGATTCCCGGTGGGAAACAACAAATTCGATTATTACTCAAGAACCAGAAAAAAGGGATATTCGATTCTCGCTTATGAGCCAAAACACTCGAAACCTCATAATTATTCTGTGTCGCTCGTGAATCTGCTGTTGAGCCGTACTGTTGTGCTGCATATGGACTGGACTGACTGCTTGTTACGGGAGTTGCGCTGTACTGATAATACGAAGATGATGATACCGGCGGGGCCACTTGCGCCACTGCCCGATTGTCCTAAACAAAAGATCTGATCATTTTTACTGGATTTCAGAAAATTTAAAAACTTTTACAGCCACGAGCGGATGCAGGGAGGCCTCCTGGGAGGTGGGAAGGGATAAAAAAGCAGGTCTAC